GCAATCAGAGAAATATATAAATCTCTTATGCTGTGATTATCCTGGGCCAAGTCAGGGTGCACTTTACAGGTATTTGGCACTGGCCGCATCATAGACAAAAAAAGCAGGAGTAATGGTAGAGCTGATATGCAGGGCAGCCGCCTGGACAAGCTGCAATACATTTGTCAAACATTTTAGAATAGATTTGTTTTCCAGCCAACACAAGCGTTTGGCAGAAAAGTCCTACAAGCCATGATCCCACCTAAGAAAGATTTCTCACTTATCCTCTCATGCGCTGTCCTGGAAGATAATTAGGGAAAACTGAGATCGTTACCTAGTAACTTCATTTCCAGAAATCTTCCAAGACAGCAGGTTATTTCCACCATAAATTCATTTTATTCATATTGGCGCTTTGTTTTTGGTTCTTAATTATTATTTAGGCAGAGAAGTAGCTAGCACTTTTTTATTTGATTGTGAGTATTGTGTTTCCTGTTTTAGGATGTTTTTATTCAAATAAATATTGCATTTAGCACTTACCCTTCCATCTACAGCACCTTTGATAATTCCTTCAATCTCTTCTTTCATTTTATTGAAAAAATGTTCATGTTTCTTTAACAATTCTCTTTCATGTTCAAAGCTGAGATGGACAGAAGTGTCAAACAAATAACAACAATAAAGAATATCAGTGACTAAAAGTGGAGTACAGAGAACAGTGACGTTTTACAGATGTACATTACTTATGTGTTAGAAACCAAGGTGGGGTGTCAGTTCATCTTAGAGAGAATCTTCTTAGTGGGGATAAATACAGCAATAAAACCCTCAATGTTCTAACCTTTCCTCACGCTATCCAAAACTAAAAAACAAGGTTTGGGCTTGAGATGCTTTTTAAGAGCCTGTAGAGAATGAGGTATTTGTTACATGATCTTCTGGGAGTCTCTCAGCCTTCCCTCTCAAGTTCTGCATCTGAATTTACACATTTCCATCCAGCAGAATAAAGCAAGTATAGTAAGAAAAGTTATATTCATTGTCAGGTAGTGTTTTTGTGCAGGAAACCAAAGGAAATATTTATAAAGCAGTGTATTTGGTATTCACCAAACATTCACTTTCGGTGAATCTTTCTGGTTAACTTGTTGTAATATAAAGCAAATGATTCACCACCAATGAATGTTTGGTGAATTTCACATTCACTGCTTTATAAATATACCAAAGTGTTTTATGGTGACCTGTTTGAAGTGAAATAGACATTTTGTTTAGTTTATATTTTATATTATATTGTTTTATTTTTGGCAGGTAAACATTGGATTTTCTTTACATAAATGTAGCATTTGTATACAGTTGCATTTCCCAATCAAACTTGAAATGAGCTACAGAGAAAAGCAGAATGTGGAATTACAATTATACAAGGGAAACCCAAGTTTTATTTAAAGTGAGACTAAACTTAGGCGTTAAATCTTAAAAATGCATTCAAGTACCCTAACTATGAACATTAATGTATCTTATTTGTGTATAACTTGGCTGTAGACCCTCAAATTATCTCTGAATTGGTGCTGACACTGTCCTTCCTTCTTGTTCCCCATGGTCCCTGTGTGTTGTAAAGTAGCCACCACTCAAAGCTTGTTCCCTCGATGGACTACAATCTTACGTTTAGTTTACTAATTTGTATTGGAGTTATAGCTTATCACGGGGAGTGAGCTTGGAGCGGTGGCTACTTTACAACATACACAGAGACCATGGGGAACAAAAGTAGCCCCCCTCCAGAAGGAAGGACAGTGTCAGCATGAATTCAGAGATGATTCGAGGATCTACAGCTGAGTGATGCACAAAAAAGATACATTTTTGTTAATAGTTAAAGGAGAACTTTGAGGTGAGTGCTTTTCACTCACCTCATAGTTCTAGCCGACCTGTGACAATGAGACTGTCACAGGTCGGCTCAGTAGATCGGGAGGTGAGCGAACACATACCGGTGTTCGCTCACCTCTCGATCCTGTCACGGCTCTCTGTCGTGACAGGGGAGGGGCTGAATTCCCCCCTCCCCACTCCGATCCGCCAGTGCTGACTGGCGGAACGGACGGGGGAGGGGGCGGGTACAGCTGGCTCTGCCTCTAGATAAGCAGAGATAGCTGTCAGTCACGCAGCTGGGCGGATCCCGGCACAATTGTCGGGATCCGCTTCAGCTGCGGCGTCTTAGTATACCGCGAGCAGCAGCTCGCGGTATACTGCGGCGTCTCAGTATACCGGAAGCTACAGCTCGCAGTATACTGAGCTTTGGGTGATGAGAGAACGCTAGTCTGTGTCCTCCCGTTACCCTAAGGAGAACTATGGGGAAAAGACTTAACCCCATAGTTCTCCTTTAAGGTACTTGAATCTTTTTTAAAAATGTAATTCCTGAATCCTGACTTTAGAGTCACTTTAAATAAATGAAGGAAAATGCTCTTGCAGATGCCAGGACACTCCCACATTTTAAAAGTAGAAGGCTGCAAAAAAACTGTTTATAAAATATGCCTATATAAAATATAACCAGAGTATAGTATATCAAATATATCTTAATAGGAATGGCATTAATGAATAATGGCATATCATTTTAAATACATACTGTACATCAACCAAGCTGTATTCTATTTATACATATTATATGAATAGTTAGATTTACATACTCTATATTCTGAGAACCAGGTTGAGTGTCTTCTTCTAGTAGAGAAACATCTTCTAATACACCATCTGCTTCAGCTCTCTGATTGGCTTCAAATTCTTCCAGTTTCTTTTCAATCTGCAGTATTTGACTTAATAATTAGTATAGCAGCTTTGCATACAGAAAGATGGAGCACTAACTAACAATAAGTTGGGATACAGCAAAATATAATACTTTCAGATAGTTTTCACATGAATAAAGCCATTGAAGGGACATTATACTTGTATACTAAAGGTTATGTTCTATCAGTTTAAATATACATGTATGAATGTAAGATGTAAAACAATCAATAATATACACATCAAGAATCTATCTATCTATCTATCTATCTATCTATCTATCTATCTATCTATCTATCTATCTATCTATCTATCTATCTATCTATATACAACCTAATTAGAATATGCAGAAATTACTCTGTATGTAAAAACAAATTAAAACATTACCTCTAGTATGGTGACGTTTTTCCTCTGTATTACTATGCGATCAAATTCTTTCATTAATAAATCAATTCCAGAATTCTTTAAAAAATCTTTATTATTCTCAAGGATGTCATGAGGGTCACCCTGTATGGAATAAAATAATACTATTAACTATCGTTACCTTACCGAAGTTGTAACTATTGTGAACATTTAATTTCGTTTTCTTGCTTTGCATGGAATGTGTATTTCAAGAGACCTTTAAAGATCCACAGTCAATTACAGTCGATTTAGAAGTGATCACTACAATGTACTTTACTATAACATTTACTTTACTAGATGTGCATTTAATATGCTTTTAACTCTGGAATTTAGGACAGTCGGGAACATACTCACTTCTATAATAAAATCTCCTACTGTAAACCATTTTGACAGAGTCACTTGGCTATTCCAGCCGTTGAAGCTCTAGCATTAACCTTTCAACTTCATTCAAAACATAAAGTGCTACAGCTCCCTCCCAACGCAAGACTCATGACAATGTTATAAGACCACCCATATAATTTTTAGCAAAAGTAGAAGTGGAAACTGCAGACAGTAATTTCAATCTAAACCACCAATGCTCAAACAGCCACTATAACAACCACAGGACAGGTTATCAACAAACAGCAGCTTGATTTTTACACTACATATTCTTGCACTTTTAACTCCAGAAACAGAACAAAACAATAGCCTTGTTCTTGGTTTACTTTGCACAGTCTTTATTTACAATTTTTAGGACAGATACATTTCTGTTTACAATTTCTAGTCCTTCTGGATTTGCACGAAGCCGCTTGATCTTTCCGTAATCTCAGGAGGAGGTGGGGCATTATGGGAGGAATTTATCAAAACTGGAGCAAACAAATTCTGGAGCAGTTGCCCATGGCAACCCATCAGCATCTAACTTCAGTTTGTTCACTTAAGATTTGAGAATGAAACAGAGAAGCTGATTGGTTGCCATGCACAGCTGCTCCAGATTTTTTCTGCTCCAGATTTTGTCTGCTCCAGATTTTGTCTGCTCCAGTTTATGATAAATTCCCTTCATGTCTTTACTGGGCATGATCCCTCTAACATTTATATATGAAAGGGTGTCAGGTAAGAGTGTGGCCTTTGTTTTAGGAGTATTTTAGAATACATTTCTCACCTCTAGTGAAAGAATCGAAGAGTGCAGCACTGGTAACAAAGTGGAGGAAAAGATATTTTTCCACATCTCTGGTGTAAGTTTAACCTTTGAAGAAAAAAATTGTATGAAATAAAGAGAAAACTTTACGTAAGGTTGTAAATCATAATTTATAATGTCAGATTAATTTTGTCTTGATTAGGTTCATTGGTTTCTAAAGCAAGGTAGATAAGTACTGATTTTTGCATTGTGCACTAACCTATAGAAATCAGAATCCATCTAATACTAGCCTGACAACACGGACTAGTCTGTGCAAGAGGGAATTCTGATCAAACATACAGAAAGATTTACAGCTCCAAGCGAACTTACAGATCATCCATCCGCCATGGGTGCATGCCAACTGGAAACTATTCTGCAGTATCCAGATACAAACAGGTTGCACTTGCTCCATTATTAACTTGATATCCAACAAGCTTTAGTTCAAATATTGCAAACTCACAAAGCCAGACTATGGCACATCTTTCACTGCCAGACCCTCTCCTACTACTCTGATACATTTGTCCCCAATAGGGGCTTAATCATGCAGAAATGCGTCAAAGGAGTAGGAGAGGGTTTGCCAGCGAACAATATATCATAGTCCAGCTTTGTGAGTTTGCACTACTTGCAATAAAGCTTGTTCTTAAAAACAAAAAAATTATTCTAATTGATTTTTTTATGGGTTGCAGAAATGAAGAATTACAACTCATTATTGAAAAGTTTACGAAGACTGGAAAAAATAGGAGAAATTTTAAGGACCGACCACAAATCTGTCAAAACAAAAGTAGCAAAGCAATGTAGGACCTACCCTACAGAATGGCATAACCGGACATGGCGCTTTGAATCTTGGCCATACATATGTATAAATGTATGCAAGTCTCTTTGTTTTGGTAAATTAAACAAATAAAACAAACAATCTCTCACCGGCATCAATTCTACTCTAAGGATGGTTTGGACCTTTACCAATTTTAATTCTGTAAATGTTACAAACACCCTTTATCAACAGACATTTTCTTTTTAAATACAAGGTTGTACAGGGAGGATGAGGTCCGTGCAGTTAATGCCACCAAAGGTATCAAAGCAACCATGTGTCTGCTTTCCTTACTGATCATCAGCTTAGTACTGTTTTGTTAGCTGAACAGAAGGTCAGAGGGCTGGAAATTTTAAAATCTGACCAGCACAAGGACCCTTCAGATGTTAAAAACATATCCGGTCATATGCCAACTTTAAGAGAAAAAAAAAAGCTTCTAACTCTGTTGCACATAATATACTTTTCCTAGTTTGTGTTTTATTCTTACCGGATGCAGTAGTCCATTAAAGCTGTGAAACTCATCTTCCTGTTTTCTATTCTCCTTCATCACAATTTTCTCAAGTTTCTCAAGGTCTCCAGCACCAAATTGATAAATATTATTCTAAAAGGAAACAGTGGAACAAAGCTATTGTATAGAATATTAGGTAGCAGTTTCCTTTTTAACGAAAAATGTACAAAGAACATCTTATCCTGCATAATTATCCTGCATAATTATCGTGCTATAATTAGGCTTCTTACCAGCTACTAAAATGCTCTAATGCTCTGCATATTGGGCAGGTAAAAAACAGTCAGTACAATATCAAGGCACCAAGATGTACATAACTTAAAACATTCAGAAAGCATTTTGCTTGCAAAAGCTTACATTTGATATGGGGTGAAATATAGAAGGTGTAAGTATTCCGATGGTGAGGTGAACTAGCCATGTATGCTGAGTGTTATTTTTAAGTGGGCAGTTTATAGTGGTGACTATTCTAGACTAACACCATTCCACAGTATGATGCCTTTTATTAGTCTGTTTTCTAATACAATAACTGAAAGTAAAACCTTTTCTGGATAGGAAACAAACATCAGCTTATATTCATTGGAATCCCTTTTCCAGTGTGTGATAAAGCGGCTGTTTGTCAGACAGTCTCTGACTTCTTGCCCAGCTAAACGAAATCCAAACTCTGTCAGGAGAAGCACTACCTCAACCTAAAGACAAACCAAAATAGTAATTGTTAAAATTAACTTTTTTCTCTTTTATTCTGCATTTGTACATCAACACTTGTAGTTATATACACAGTATTACTATATTACTATTATACAGGATTTCTATAGCGCCAACAGTCTGTACAGCCCTTATACAAAATGAAGGGAGACAATACAGTTAACAGCACAATTTTAATACGGGAGGGTTAGGAGGGCCTTGCTTGTTAGAGCTTACAATCTAGTAGAAGGAGCAAGTGATAAAAAAAGGTAATTTCTAATGTAGTAAACAAAATCACTACTTTTGGTGTTGTCCCTTATGGTTAGTCCTACCCATTCAGCAATTGAACTGTACATGCTTATATTGGGAAAATAGAGGGTGATAGAAATCCTTTGTTCCCAGGGGGAGAGCATACTAACGATTAACCTATAGGGAGCAGCATCTTTGATAATATATTATTCTATTTCTGTTCTGCTAGTGGGCAACACCAAGGTGATCAATATCAAGATTTATATTTCCGGCATGCTGCTTTTAGTCTTATGAAATGATTGCAACAAGTCCCGGTTCAACATTACAATTATATTTATTGGTTGCCACATATTGTCTTTTATTGATGGTTCAGTTTTTATTTTGTTTTTTATGTTATGTTCAGAGCCTTTTTCCAGTGTGACAAATTAGAGCTAAAACTCCAGGCAAGCAGCTAAAGAAAGGTTAAAATGATCTGACAAAGTACTTGTCATTCTGTCCAAGCAGTTTTGTGCTTCCTACACCTCTGACAGACAGCACAGACAGGAGTATGACACCACTTGCTTTGGTAAAGAGAAGGAATACAGTGGTGTCACCTCCCTGCTCACAGTCTGCTGGATGAACAATAAAGGAGAAGAAACACAGAGAAATCATCAACTCTCCTCACTCTGAAGATGAGTGTGCGAAGGGTAGACAAGTCAACTACATCAGTTCAGTAGTTGGATCTACCTACAGGCTTCACAAAATGTAATGCAGTGCAGCCCTATCTGTACTGACAGTGTGTAGGCAAGTTATACTTCACGTGGTATTTACAAAGCTAACAACCAAAGCTTGTTTGCAAATATATAAACCACATACTTTATGTACATTATTTAGGCTTGAGGATTTCTACTAAAACCAAATCGCCCGTGTGCTTAAGATCCTTCAGTAATACTACACAGTTCCTTGTTGGTTGGCTGGTTGTGGGAGAAAGCAATAACTCAATTTTACTCTGCAGAGAGGTCAGATGCAGAGTAACAATTAAACTGAAAATCCCCTTAAAGTGCATTCAATATCACTTTTCATTAAGCATGTATCTAGAACACAACGTAAAATCAATACTCACTTCGTCAAGGGCATCTTGTATGAAACTAATTGCCAGTGGATCACTGTCATTGGTCCCTGGCATTTCCAGAATCTCCGTTCCGCCATACAGCAGAGTACTCGGCACATATACTACAAGCCTTTTTAGGGACGATATCTTCTGTTTCATGATTCTGCTTCTATTATCTTCATCATCATCATCATCGTCATCATCATCATCATCAACAGCTGATAATGTGAATTCTTTCAAAAGCTTCTGTATAATATAAAATATTAATTTTCTTTCTACTGATATTATAGAGTTACCTGCATTTATGTTCTCCATGTTCTTTTGTGCATTTTTAAAGTTTTCTTACTACTTTCTTCCTGAACCTTAACATTTTAAAATGCCCAGGTGAAAAAATATAACCAAAAGGGACATTTAAATATACCTCCATCTCTAATCATATCTTCCCTAAAGTATCTATATACTGTACACATTATAAGGTAAAACTTTCTGCCCTGGTTCAGATTGGATATACACTAATCTGTTCCATATTTTCTCCACTTGTTGAGGGCTGTCTTCACTGTGTTCCATGGTATATCTAATGCCTTGTAAATTTTTTGTACCCTTTTACTGACTAATACCTTCCAACAATGAGATCCCATTTTTCTCTCTCACTAAATCAAATGGTAAAACCCAGGAACTTTGACCTTCCTGGATGACTTTTTTACCCAACATCTGTTCACTGACATTTTTTACCTTCCTGGTAGAAAGCGGCAGAATTATTTTCCATAATGATTCTCATCATTTATCATCTACTATCTCCTTTTAAATGAATGGACAGAGCGCACAGTGTCATTGCATCATGCTCAAGTGCAAGATTTTAAAAGTGCCTACAGTAATTTAGATAAACAAAAAGTAATCTTAAACTGCCAGTACCTCGTGGGATGGTATTTTTATTGTTTAAGTTTATATGTTTATATGTTTTATGCAAAGTTTTTAGTACAAGGTTTGTGAGATATCAAGTAACCTGTAATCACCCCTGCATTTGCCTTGTGCATGTATCAAAACTGAAAACAGGAAAGTTACTAATGTGCACGTATTACAATAGAGGGAATGTATGAACTCTGGAGCAGACAGAATCTGGAGCAGGTACCCAAAGCAACCAATCAGCTTATTTCTTCAGTTTGTTTAGTGAAGATTTAAAAATGAAAGAGAGAAGCTGATTGGTAGCCATGCACTGCTGCTCCAGATTTCCGCTGCTCCAGTTTTGATAAATTTCCCTCAATTAATTTAAAAAGCAAATGTAGTGGGTCTAAATAAAGCAAGTTGAGAACTGTGGTAGCCCAAAATCACAAATAAAGAATTAGACTTTTGACCTTACTTTTATAATGAGAGCTGATTTTGATATTTTTTGTTTGCTATTTTATTTTTATAAATCAGCTTCTCTGACTTACCTGGAGAGCAAGTCTATCAGCTGATGGATTGCTTCCATTCCCAATGTACAGTTCAGTCTTCCCTGCAAACTCCTTCACTTGTTTACAAAGTTCAATTTCTCCAGGAGAGGAGATCGATCCCAGCACATTCTGTAATGTTTTCTGCATATAACACAGGTGTCATAAATAAATATCATTTTAAATTTAACTTTTATCTGTATTTAAATAGACATTTAATTTAAATAGAAATATTCTGTTTTGGTATGGTATCTTCTCTTCCTACAGGCCTAATAAACAAGAGCAGGACACTACAGTGCTGAATTAATTTTTGGCCAATGAAACACAATGGGGGGAATTTATAAAAACTGGAGCAGTCTCTTTAGAAACAGATTTTGTCTGCTCCAGTTTTGATAACCAAATGGATCTTATTGGATGGGACTTCTGGTCACATCAGATTTCTCCAACAGCTGGTACTGCAAATAGAGTCTGAAACTATTGTGCTAATTGAGGCGCGCTGTATTACTACAAGAAGAGATAACACTCAGGAAATAATTTACATGTAAACTGCAAAATCCGATTTAAAATGAGGCACCATCCACAGTAAATAATTTACTATTATAAAAATAAAACAGTACATTTCTTTTTTTTCCGTTTCCTGGCTACTTGATTGCCGTGATGGCGCCGCGACCCACTGCAGAAGGGCTCGCGACCCACTTTTGGGTCGCGACCCATGAGTTGAGAACCACTGATTTAGAGCATTGAGATTAATTTTTCTCTATTCTGAAATGTAGGGTTATAATTCTGTCTCTAGGAGAAATGGACACAAGGCCAAAACAAATAAAAAGCCTGTCACTTTAAGGACATAACTCCTCCCACCTCCCACCTGCCAGTTTCGCTTAGTGTCCTCAGGAGAATGAATGAATCCTTGTCTTCTGCTTTATTATTTTAGTTTGTTATAGTTCTACCACGAGGACTGCTAGATGGTTCATACCGGATAATATTAAATCCTGGGAGTTCTCACTAGCTAGCCGACATGAGAAAGATTCATACTGGATAATGTTAAATCCTGGGAGCTTCTCTGGTCTTGTCCTGTGGTGTTCCCGTGTTCCTGTTTTCATCATTTAACAGTCAGGCCAGTATTAACCTAGGGATTCCTGTTGTTATGTTGGGAACAGGACTGTAGAGTCATAAGTAAAACATTTATTTACCTCATGTTATAAGGTTGGGTATTTTTCCTCCTTTTTATTTACTTTGGCTGTGTGCCTTTAGACTCCTATTTGGCTAAATGCTTTCATGTGGAGTTTGACTGCTTTGATTTAAATTTCCCACAGTTTCTTTAAGAGGCCGGGACTTCGATTTGATGATGTACCTTTTTGTTTTTATCTATAGCGCATGGAAGACACGGATTTGAATCTGCTTCTTCTTCTGTTTTACACTCAGTTTCAAGTTGCTTAATGGGGAGAACAGCGATCTCCTGATTTTTATTTTTATTGAAACATTCCGCTTTCTGCAGTAGATGGTACCTCATATTTTACCTCCCAGCAGTCAGGGCCATTATTGTGTTTTGTCTGCGGTGAAGCGTGAAAAGTGAATTTTCTCCTTTTCTATATTGCAAATTTGGTCTTTCCTTCAATTTGACATAAATCAACATTTAGCTCTAAGTACCATGAAGGGTCAGCCATCTGCCTTGTCGGTCCTTTTTTTTTAATGTACTTTTGTTCTAATCCTTTATTCATACTTTTATTCAGAGAGTTACTCATGTAGCTCCTCCTGCTAGGTTTCTTTTTCCTTCGTGGGCCTTGAACATGGTTTTAGCTGTTTATAAAAAAAACTCATTTGAACCTATACAAGACCTTTCTTTGACTTGCTATCCAAAAAGGTTGCTTTTCCTGTGGCCATTACCTCGACTAGAAATATTTCCGAGTTGTCTGCTTGTAAAGAACCCTATTTGGTTCTTCATAGGGACAAAATTGTTTTGAGACCGCAGGATTCCCTTTTTACCCAAAGAAGTCTCAGCTTTTTTTTTATATGAAGAGTTTGTTTTCCCTTCACTTTGTCCAGCTACTGTTCATCCTAAAGAAATTTCTCTTTGTCACTTTGGATGTTGTGCAGGCTTTTACTGCAACAGCTTCCTTTTGATGTTCAGACTCTTTATTGTTCTTTCAGAAATGCCTAGAAAAGGTTGTTCAGCTTCTAGATCCACCTTTTTAAAGTGGATTTGTTAGCTGGTTATTCAAGCTGATGAGTTGTGGGACAGGGCACCACCTTTTCCTGTTTCTGCTGATTCTACTAGAGCAATTAGTACTAGTTGGGTTTTTCGAAATCAAGCTTCTTCTCATAATTGCAAGGCCACAACTTGGTCTTCTGCGCACACCTTTGCACATTTTTGGATGAGGTGGATGTGTCTGCCTCATCTGATGCTAATTTTGGCAGAAAATATTTTCATAGAGCTGTTTAAGTGTACTTTGGCAGTTCATTTTTTTTGCTGAGCTACAGTAGTGCTTTAGTTGTTGTGGTGCTCACCCTTCTGTTGGAACTGCTTTTGAACGTCCCCACGTTTCAGAATTCTTCAGAGCTACGTCCCATCATTGGACGATAGAGAAAACAGGATTTGGTGCTTACCTTAAAATCTTTTCCCAGAGTTCATTGAGGGACATGGCTCCTTCCCCTAAAAATTCCTTTGTATTGCTTGCTACAAATGGCAGGTTTGAGGTGGGAGGGGTTATAACCTTAAAGAGGCAGCAGCATAACCCTATGTTTTAGAATTCTTCAGAGCTATGTCCCTCAATGGACTCTAAGAAAAGGATTTTACGGTAAGAACAGAATCCTATTATAGAAAGCTGGAGCAGACAGAATCTGTAGCAGTTGCCCATGGCAACCAATCAGCTTCCGTCTTTCATTTTCAAAGCTTAAGATTTAACTCCTGAGTTTAGTGTTACTTTAACTGCTTGAAGACCAGGTGCTTAGATCCCCTACCTGGCCAGGCCATTTTTCAGTGTTCAGCGCTGCGGTACTTTGACTGACATTTATTCCGTCACGCAACGCTGTACTGAAATTAATTTTATACCATTTTTTGGGGACAGATAGAGCTTTCTTTTGGTGGTATTTAATCACCACTGCGGGTTTTATTTTTTACTATATTCAGGAGAAATTACTGAAAATTTTGAGAAAAAAACGTTTTTTTTTACATTATGCTATAAAACAACTAATATTACCCACTTTTTTGGTAAAATATAAAAGATGGGGTCACGTCGGGTAAATAGACACCAAACATGTCAAGCGTAAAAATTGCGCGCACTCGCAAAATCGCAAAAAACTAGCATACCCAAAATTGGCCATAGGCGACGCTTTAAAAGCTTTTACCGCTCATCAGTTTAGTGTTATCAGTGATTGATGGCCCTAGAACTATTGCTCTCATTCCGACGTTCGCGGCGATATGTAACATGTGCGGCGTAATGGGTGCAATCGTCGTTTTCGCAGGTATGCGCACCTGACGCATGTTTACATGCGTGTATGTAGGGGTGGGGACTTTAAAAAAAAAATATTTTTTTTTTATTCTTTTTTGTGTAACTTTAAAAAAATTGGGGGGGAAACTTTAAATTTTTGTACTATTTTTTTTTTTCACTTAACTTTATTGCTATCACAGAGGGGGCTGAGAAACCCCCTTATGTGATAGCAAAAGAGGTGACAGGTCCTCTTTATGGAGACATCAGGGGGTCTCCAAGACCCCTAATGTCACCTAGTACCCCCCTGAAGAAGCTGATGAAGCAGAGATCTGCTTCATCAGCTTCTCTCCAGCATCTGAAGCTGGAGAGTGACACAAGAATGCGGAAGTAATATAATATACATCGCTGCAGCTTTTCAAATAGCGGGGATTTCCCGCTCGCGCGCGCCGCACGGCGCTTCGGGCGGATGTAACAGGACGTGTATACACGCCCAGTTACATCCAAGAAGCTCCCGGCAGGCCGTGTATACACAGCGGCTGGCCGGGAGGTAGTTAATAAAGATCTGTTATGTCCTCTTGTTCCCAGGCTGCATAGTGCCCTAGGTAAGCACACAATTTCTTTACCATGTAATACAATAGAGTAACTACTGTATATAATTCCCAAATACCTCATTGCAACTTTTAGGGGCATTATTCGTCAAAATCTTGAATCGAGCCTTCAGTGATTGTTCAGATTTTTCTTGCATCATTTCATTTACAAATTCAGGTTTTATTTCTGCCGAACCTGTGAAAATCGCTGCAGTTATTGACATTTTCCATAATAATTTAACAGTGACATGAATTCATTGATGTCACCGAGGGACATCAATATTTCCAAAGTAAATATTTTTGAAGCGTATATATTGTATAACAGGGGAAAGCAACCTTGGCACTCTATCTGTGGTAAAAACAAGTCCCATGAGGCATTGCAAGACTCTGGTACTCAAAAGCAAGACTCCCAGATGCATGTTGAGATTTATAGTTTCACCATGGCTGACATGGTGAGGTTACCTACCCCTGGGTGACGCGGGGAAGTGTGGGGGGGAAGCTGGTGATATTCTGCAGTGCTCACTTTTATTATAATGTATTGCTGGGACTTGTAGTCCCTCATAGCTGGTGGTATTCTGCATTGCTGTATGATGGTTATACAGCAATGCAGAATAGCTCCAACTATGTAGGACTACAAGTCCCAGCAATACATTATATTTTTAAGTAGGGATACACCACTGCCAATACTGGGCATTTTCACGAGTACTCATACTCGTGAAAATGCTCCAATACTAAACGTAGATATTGGTGTTCTGTCGAGTACCCAGATGTAGTCGAATTTGCTGACCTCAGCATCTACGCTTGCGCACAGACCAGTATTATTGAGGGAACAGGGATTTATTCACAAAGTATTTTGTTTAAATTGTTAATTGTGACCGTTAATAATATTCCATCCATCATTTACTGCCATGGACGGTATATTATTAACGGTCACAATTAACCATTACAAACGAATACTTTGTAAATAAATGCCGGTTTCCTCGTTAATCCTTTCTGTACGTAAGCGCAGATACTGGGTCAGCGTTCTCAACAGAACACCGGCACTAAAATTGTAAACAAGCGGCTGCCTGGGGTCCCGCACTTGCTGGGGACCTCGGCAGCCTTCCTGTTAACCATGTGGTGCCATGGCGGTTGGGGGGGGGGCTTCTTGGTTTCTTGCACCAGGGGCCGTGAAGGTTCTAGTTACGCCTCTGATGCACCCCCTTTAGCAGCTCTTTTATTCGGCACTACAAAAACTTACACAAATGTAAAAAGATAAAATATAACATTTAAAAAGATAAAAGCTGCATAACTCAGTGGTCTAAGAATTAAACTATGATATTTGATCAATAAACGCCTTACTTGTAAGGTTGCCTAAACTGACACCATATGCAGATCAAAGATTACCTCTCAGAAGCTTTGTATGTGGGTGTTTTTACATATAAAATTGCCCCAGTTTATAACTCACCTTCAGCATTTTCCTTTAAATCTGTAAACATAAAGAAAACAGTCTTTTCTATATTCCCAATCATCAATCTTCAGCTATCTCCCGCAGTACGTCTTCTCTACCACTAGATGTCTTTAGGGTTGCATGAGAGTGAGGGTCATTTAACCCAGTGAGTACAGGCTGTCATAGGCATGTACCTTGGGGGATAGGGGATGAGGCTTGTGGCAGATCCCACAGGTTCACAATTTGCACTCCTGACAAATTTATGTTCAAATTTTCCCACACACGTTGTTTTTTTTAATCAAACCATGGCCAGCAGGCTTAGAAGGGTCAATAAGGGGGCTTTTGGATAGGTATCAGAACCTTAAGGATTCCTCCTGTTGAGCTTTGGAGCACATCAAGGCATTCAAGCTACAAACACTCAGGTGTGAATAAGGCCCACATTTTTAATAAGACTGAAAGGGTCATTCACTAAAGGGTGAAGAGTTTGGAGAAAGCAGGAGAAGTGAACAATCTAGGACACCAGAGCTGAACTGGAAAGTGAGCTGAATCAGAGAATTTTTCCAAATCAGCTATTTTGTCCTAGATTCAGGGCCGGATTTCCCACAAGGCTACCGTGGCCTGACCTCAGGGCGGTAGGGAGTATAGGGGCGGCACAGTCACCGGGTGGGCAGTTTTTTTCTACATTTATCCCTGCTTCAGGGCAAGCAGGGCTAAATGTACAGCTGCTCGTTTTGTACAAGTGATTTTGGTGATGTCGCTTTGATCACTTGTATGCAGCCTGCAGGTTCGCCCCCCCTTCATGGTCCACCCCCACCTCAGCGGGCTGCATCTGTGGTTTTGCGGGGGTCCCCCACTCTTTCTGGGGACCACAGCAATTACTTCAGGATGGAGGGCAGGGAGCAGAGCGGATAACGATCTGTTCTTCGTTCTGCTCCGCATAAACAGTGAAAGGGGAGAACTGCACTCGCAGCCTTCCCCTCTCAGCTATCATAGGAGTTCCAGCACAATGCTTTGCTAGAATTCCTGTATTGGAGGTGACTGGTTCCATAAAGAGAACCTGTCATCTCCAAATGCTATCACAGAGGGGATTGTTAGCTCCCGTGTGATAGCAATAAATTAAGTGGAAAAAATTAAAGAAAAGGAAAATTATAAAAAAGTTAGAAAATAATAAAATCAACTAAACTAAGTAAAAATTAATAAGTAATAATAATTAAAATTAAAAGGTGTTAAAAAAGTAAAATGTAAAATTATAAGAAATAAAAAAGTAAAAGATAATAAGCTAAATAAAAATTTTAAAAAGTAAAAAAATAAATAAAAATACAAAAGTGAT